TCGCCGGCTTCTCCGGCGGGCCTCTTCTCACGACGCTTCTGCGCCGATCCTCGCCCGCTCCTCGCGGATCCTTGCCCGATCCTCCGCCAGCTCTCGCCGCTCCTACGCCGCTTCAAAGCCCGCTCTCGCGCTATCGCCGATCTTGCCGCCCTCGCCGCTCCTCGCCGCTCTCGACGCTTCTCGCCGTCCTCGCCGCTCCTCGCCGATCCTGCCGCTCCTCGCCGCTCCTCGCCGTTCATGCCGCTCCTCGCCGCTCTCGGACGCTATCGCGCTCCGCCGCGCCTCGCGCTCAACTCGACGCTTCCTCGCCGTTCCGGGCCGATCCTCGCGTCCTCGCCGCTCCTAGACGCTTCTCGCCGCTACTTCAGCCGCTCCTTCCGCCGCTCCTCTGCCGTCCTCGCTGCTCTCGCCGCATCTCTCGGCCTCACTCGCGCTCCTCGAACGCTCTACGACGCTTTCTCGGCCGCTCCTCGCCGCTGCTCGCGCTCTCGAGCTTCTCGCCCCCTCGCCGCTCCTCGCCGCTTCCTTGCCGGGCTCCCGCCCGCTCCTCGCCGCAATCTCGCCGCTCCTGCGCCGCTCATCGAGACTATACGCCGCTTTCGCCGCTCCTCGCCCGCTTCCGCGATCTGCCGCTCCTCGCCGCTCCTCGCCGCTTCATCGCCGCTCCTACGCCGGCTCTACGACGCTTCTCGCCGGGGCTACCTCGCCGCGCGCTCGCGCTCTCGCCGCTCCTCGCGTTCCGGGCGTACCTCGCGCTCCTCGCGTCCTCGACGATTCTCGCACCGCTCCCGCGCTTCATCGCCGCTCTTGCCGCTCTCGCCGCTCCTCGCCGCATCTAGCCGCTCCTCCGCGCTCTGACGGACTCCTCGCACGCTTCTCGCCGCTCGCTCGCCGCCTCCTCGCTTGCTCCCTCGACGCTTACTCGCGCCTCCTCGAGCGCTCCTCGCCGTCCTTGCCGATCCTCGCCGCTCACTGCAGTTCTCGCCGCTCCTCGCGCTCCTCCAGTCGCTATCTACGCCCGCTCCTCGACGCTCCTCGGACCCTCTCGCCGCTCCTCGCGGATACCTCGCGCTCCTCGCAGTCCTCGCGCCTCGAGCCCTCGCCGCTCCGCCGCGCCTCGCCGCTCTCGCCGCTCCTTCCGGCGTTCAGGGCGCTCCTCGCCGCTCCTCGCACGCTCTCCGACCGGCTTCTCGCGGCTCCTCGCGGCTCCCTCGCGCTCCTTGCCGCTCCTCGCCCCGCTCCTCGCCGCATCTCGCCCGTCCTCGCCGCTCATCGACGCTCACAGCACGCTTCTTCGCCGTCCGCCGCCTCGCCGATCCTTGCGGCTCCTCGGCTCCTCGCCGCTACTCGCCGCTTTCGCCGCTCCTCGCGCTTCTCGCCGATCTCTGCCGCTCTCGCGCCTCGGCCGCTTTCCCTCGCAGCTCCTCGAGCTCTCGACGCTTTCCCGCCGCTCCTTCGCAACGATCATACGCCGATCCTTGCCGCTCCTCGCCGCTCCTCGCCGCTTCACGGCCGCTCATCACGACACGCCCGCACGCTCCTCGCCGTCCTACGACCTCACACTCTCGCCGCTCTCGCGCTCCTCGCCGCTCTTGCCGGCTCCTCGCCGCTTCCTCGCCGCATCTCGCCGCTCTCCTCGCCGCTTCTCCGGCGCTCCTCGAGCTTCTCGCGCTCCTCGCCGCTCCTCGCCGATCCTTGCCGCTCCTCGCCGCTCCCTTCGCCGCTCCTCGCCGCTTCTCGCCGTCCCTCGCCGCCCCTCGCCGATCCTTGCCGCTCCTCGCCGCTCCTCGGCCGCTCCTGACGCTTCTCGCGCTCTCGCGCGTCCTCGCCGATCCTTGCGCTCCTCGCCGCCTCGCCGGGCTTCATCGGCGCTCCTCGCCGCTCCTCGTACGCTCCTCGCCGTTCCTCGCCGCGCTCGCGCCGCTCTTCGCCGGCTCCTCGCGCTTTCTCCGTCGACGATTCTTCGCGCTCCTCGCCGCTCCTCGCCGTCCTTGCCGCTCCTCGCCGCTCTCGCCGCATCTTCGCCCGCTCCTTCGCGGGCTTCTCGCCGGGTCCTCGACGCTCTCGCCGCTCCTCGCCGCTCCTCGCCGATTCCTTGGTCCTCGCCGCTCCGCCGTACGTCGACGCTTCTCGCCGCTCCTGCGGCCGTTTCTTTCTCTCGCCGATACCTTGCCGTCCTCGCGCTCCTCGCCGCTTCATCGCCGCTCCTTCGCCGCTCTGACGCGCTCCTCGCGCTTCTCGCCGCTCGCCGTCTCGCCATCCTTGCGTCTCGCAGCTCCTCTGACGCTTCTCGCCGCTCCTTCGCCGCTCTCGCCGATCCTTGCCGCTCCTCGCGCTCTCGCCGCTTCATCGCCGCTCTTGCCGCTCCTCGCGCTCCCTGCGCATCTCGCCGCTCCTCGCCGTCCTCGCCGCTCCTCGACGCTTCTCGCCGTCCTCGCCGCTCCTCGCCGCTCTTGCCGTCCTTCGCTGCTCCTCGCCGCTCTCGCGCTCCTCGCCCGCTTCTCGCGCTCCTCGACGCTTCTCGCCGCTCTCGCGGGCTCCTCGCCGATCTGCCGCTCCTCGCCGCCCTCGCGCCCTCGCCGTCTCGCGCTCTCGCCGCTCCTCGCGATCCTTGCCGCTCCTCGCCGCTCCTCGCCGCTCCTCGCGCTTTGCGCCTCGCCGCTCCTCGCCGATCTGCGCTCCGCGCTCCTCGAACGTTCTCGCCGCTTCCTCGCCGGCTCCTCGCCGATCCTCGCCGCGGCTTCGCCGCTCTTCGCCGCTCCTCAGCCGTTACCGGGCCGCCTCCTCGCCGCTCCTCGCGCTTCTCGACGCTTTCTCGCGCTCCTCGCGCTCCTCGCCGCTTCCTTGCCGCCCTCGCGCTCCTGCCGCTCCTCGCCGCTCCTCGCCGCTCCTCGACGCTTTCGCCCGTCTCGCCGAGCTGCTCTCGCCGCTCCTTGCGCCGCTCCTCGCCGCTCCTCGCCGCTCCTCGTAGATACTCGTCTTAGTTTAATACTCCTCGCGAAGCTCCTCGCCCGCTTCTGGCGCTTCTCGGCCCGCTCCTCGGGCCAGCTCCTCGCCGCTCCCTGCCGTCCTCGCCGGCTCCTCGCCGCTCTCGCCGCTCCTCGCCGCTCCTTCGCCGCTCCTCGACGCTTCTCGCGCTCCTCGCCCGCTCCTCGCCCGCTCCTTGCCGCTCCTCGCGTCCTCGCCGAGCATCTCGCCGCTCCTGCGCCGCTTCTACGCCGCTCATCGACGCTTCTCGCCGCTCCTCGCCGCTGCCTCGCCGATCTTGCCGCTCCTCGGCCGCTCCTCGCCGCTCCTTCGCCGCTTTCTCGCCGCTCCTCGCCGCTCCTCGCCGATCCTTGCGCTCTCGCCGCTCCTCGCCGCTCCTCGAGCTTCTCGCCGTCCTCGCGCACCTCGCCGATCCTTTTGCCGCTCCTCGCCCGCTTCCTCGCCGGCTTCATGGCCGCTTCTCGCCGCTCCATCCGACGCTCCTCGCGGGGCCTCGCCCGCGGCCGCCGCTCTCGCCCTCCTCGCCGTTCCGGGCCGCTCCTCGCCGCTCCTCGCCGCTCCTCGGAGCTTCTCGCCGCTCCTCGCCGCTCCTCGCCGCTCCTTGCCGTCCTCGCCGCTACCTCGCGCATCTCGCGCTCCTCGCCCGCTCCCTTCGCCGCTCCTCGACGCTTTCTCGCCGCTCCTCGCCGCTCCTCGCCGCTCCTCGGCCGCTCTCGCCGCTCCTGACGCTTCTCGCCGCTCCTCGACGCTCCTGCCGCTCCTTGCCGCTCCTCGCCGCTCCTCTGCCGCTTTCTCGCCGCTGCCTCGCCGCTTCTCGCGCTCCTTGCCGCTCCTCGCCGCTCTCGCCGCTCCTCGCCGCTTCATCGCGCTTTTCGCCGCTTCCCTTCGCCGCTCCTCGCCGCTCCTCGCCGCTCCCTCGCCGCATCTCGCCGGCTCCTCGCAGTCCTCGCCGCTCCTCGAGCTTCTCGCGCTCTTCGCCGCTCCTGCCGCTCCTTGCCGCTCCTCGCCGCTCCTAGCCGCATCTCGCGCTCCTCGCCGCTTCGCCGCTCCTCGACGCTTTCTGCCGCTCCCGCCGCTCCTTCGCCGCTCCTTGCCGCTCCTCGCCGCTTCCTCTCGCCGCATCTCGCCGCTCCTCGCCGCTCCCTCGCCGCCCCTCGCCGCTTCTGCAGCCGCTCACTCGGCCGCTCCTCGCCCTCTTGCCGCTCCTCGCCGCTCCTCGCCGTCCTCGACGCTTCTAGCCGCTCCATCAGCCGCTCCTCGCCGCTCCTTGCGCTCCTCGCCGTCCTCGCCGCTTCATCGCCGCTTCCTCGCCGCTCCTCGACGCTCCTCGCCGCTCCCTCGCCGCGCCTCGCCGCTCCTCGCCCTGCTCGCCGTCCGGGCCGCTCCTCGCCGCTCCTGCGCCGCTCTCGACGCTTTCCTCGCCGCTCCTCGCCGCTCCTCGCCGCTCCCTTGCCGCTGCTGCCGCTCCTCGCCGCTCTCGCCGCTCTCGCCGCTCTCGCCGCTCTCGACGCTTCTCGCCGCTGCCTCGCCGATCCTCGCCGCTCCCGCTGGCTCCTCGACGCTTCTCGCCGCTCTCGACGCTCCTCGCGATCCTTGGCCGCTCGCTCGGCCGCTTCCTCGCCGCTTCTCGCGCTCCTCGCCGCTCATCGTCGCTTCTCGCCGCTCCTCGCCGCTCCTCGACGCTCTCGCCGCTCCTCGCCGCTCCTCGCCGCTCCTCGCCGCTCCTCGACGCCTCCTCGCCGCTCTCGCCGCGCCTCGCGCTCCTCGTCCGCTCCTCGCCGTTCCGGGCCGAATCCTGCGCAGCTCCTCTCGCCGCTCCCATCGACGCTTCTCGCCGCTCCTCGCCGCTCCTGCCGCTCCTTGCCGCTCCTCGCCGCTCCTCGCCGCGCTCCTCGCCGCTCCTCGCCGCTCATCGCCGCTTCTCGCCGCTCCTCGACGCTCCTCGCCGCTCTTCGCCGGCCTCGCCTGTGTCGGCGCGTTTTTTAATCTGACTGCCACAACATACATAATATATTATTTGCTTACAAACATAACATTTTATTACTTCTACTAACTTTTATTACTACATTATTTTACTGTAAAGTAATAGCATTGAGTTATTCTTCCTGTTGAAAAATATATATCAATGTTTTAATGATTTGCCATTGATGATTAGTCCACGTGTCTTCAACGGTGAGTTTGTTTCTGCGCGCCAATACGTGCACTAACACGATTACTACATTAATACTGAATTAACTACACAAGACATCCCATCGTGTATGTTCACCTCCAATAATGCCTAAATTATGTGTGCTATCGAAGTACGAATTTACTCGCTATTCACTCAAGGCGCAATTATGTGTCATTGGTTTTGAATTTGTAAATGAAACTTTGTAGTTTCTCATCCACCAAAGATAGAACGTGAAAAAAGAAGAAAAAAGAATTGTAAAGGTATCCCTAGTTCATTGTTTAATTGACTGTGTATAATTGACACCTACTAATATTTGTTCATTATTTCTTATGTTCTGTTGTAGAAATGTTTTATTGTATACTCGTGGTTTGAATATTTCCGATGTGTATTATATGCAAAAAACTCGTGGTCATGTTTTTTTCTATTATGATGCCGTCCCCTGGAGCACGTGTGATTTGGTTTTGCAGTGACGTGGATGAAGGGCACGCGCGACATCACGACGAGCCAGCGCTCGCTCAAGGAGACCCTGGACGACTACGTGCGCATGACGCTAAAGCGAGCCGTGCCGGCCGACGCGGGCACCTACTGCATCCTGGCACGCAACGTCTACGGCTGCGACCGCGCCTTCGTCACCGTGCGGGTACGCACCCCGCCTTCTTTCTTTTTCTCTTCCTTCCTTCCTTTCTTTCTTTCTTTCTTTCTTTCTTTCTTTCTTTCTTCCACCACCACAAAACGGGTTACTTTGGAGGGTTTTTTTTAGATTCATCCGAAACTGTGTTATTCATTCCATATCACAAGTAGTAAGATAACAAGAATAATGGAAAGTTTTCTCTCAACTTGAATTTTATTTATGCAGTCATATCTAAAATTGCGTTCAATCTCCAGTATAGGACAGTTAATTAACTGCATTTAGGAAACTTAAAAAAATGAAAATCCCACTTTAAAGGCAATAACCTTAGTAGATCTCAAAACTCAATGAATTTTTTTTTACTTGAAAATTACATATTTTATGAGAATTTTAAAATGTTATAAAACTTTTGAGAGTAAATATAGATATTATTTTTTTGAAAAATTCATTCAGTTTTGTTTTTTTGATAGCAAAATAGATAATCAGTGATTACACAATGTGTGAATTTGCCTAGATTTTAAATGTAATCAAACCTTTTAATATAATATTTCTGTGTTTTTTTCCATTGCAAATTTTCACAAAAAAAGTAGAATCTAGTAATGTTATTATATTTAAAGCGAACAGTATGTTTTCTTGAATCAACCAACTTTATCTTATTTTTTAGTCAGTTAAACAAAAAAAAAAAAATGAGTGCCAAACAAAATAAATCAAAAATGTTTTGGGCAATGATACAAAAAATGATCCCAAAAGAACCTTGTCAATTTCCATTCCAGAAGCAATTTTTGTACCAATCAATTGTATACATAGCATCGTAAGCTTTCAAGATCATGCAGCTTACATGATAAATTTTCCAGGCTTGTAGGCCGTGCTTAAGTTGCCATTGAAGGGCCAATGCCAACTGGATCACGGCCTACCAGCTCGGAAAATGTATCTTCGAATCAACTGCATGTTAAGTAATTGTGCTAGTCATAACAGACAGAATACTTAAAATAATTTATGATGCTTGATAACAATTGTGTCAATCTTTAACATTTAAAATTATTTTCGTGTCCCAGTCATTTCTTCTTTCCTGTATTAGTCATGCTTGTTGGTAATTATCAATACCAAATACTGTATGTAAAATTTGACGTATGAGTTAACGTTATGGAAACAAGTTCAAATGAATTAAAAGCCTTTATTAATGTTTGAATAAATACCAGAACTACATTTTAATGAATTAGTTCTAGAGGAAAATCATTCAAAACTTATATTTTAGAAAAATTAAATAGGATTATAATATTTTATTTATTGGAACTGTTAAAGATGCAAATACATATAATACTTGTCAAGAATATAAAAGAACATGTTGAAATATAAATGAATAGTTATTCTTTTGTTTATTATTTGGCGTGTTGTATATTTTAAACTGGAAACTGTTAATACCTATTTGTGTTGCCAGATGAGGCAACGGGCTCGCTCACTCACACCAGGAGCTGAGAGCAGATTACAAGATGTTGCTACTATTCTCCGTGATGTTCGAGACCAGAAGGAGATCCGAGGCCTCAGGGGTGAGTAGTATATCATTTCTTAATGTGTTGTTCATTTATAACAGTTTCAATAAATCTAGAAATTTGTAAAAACAAAATACTAAGAGAACATAGAACAAATTATTCTGCCGTTTTTGTCAGAATTTGTAAGCCATCAGTAGTGTAGGGACAATGGGGACAGAGCTGGTTGACCCGATCCTGTGTGACACCTTACCAGTGATGACACCAATTGAAGAATATAATTAAAAATTGTGTAATTTGAAATTTTGAGTCAAAACAATATTAATTTTGATACTTATCTTATAAGTTGACAAAAATAAGACTTTCTCTGCTTATCCCAAGTTCTTTTCAAACTTAGAATGCAATTTCCATTTGCAAATGATGAGTTTTGATCTGAAATGTCAATTTTCAATCCAGTCTGTGAACTAACTAGCCAATTAACTCTTCAATCTTGTCTGTCTTTGATTCAATTATAGGTACATTTTTAGTTTCAGAATCTCAACAATCTTCAAATACATACGCAAGAACTAGCTTATTAGTTACCAATTATAGCTAAGCCTTAAATTAACACAGATTGATTAATTAATGTCCAAATTTAACTGCCGAAAAATTGAAAATTCTAGTTCCTTTCATGATACTGAGTAATTGAGTGCTTCTCATGTGAATAAATGAATTAATTTAGGGAATGTGAAATAAATCAATGAATACTTAATGGACGTTAAACAATATTTGTATTTCCATAAATGTGTATTTATATAAATGATTTTTTTTTCCATAAATTTACTTTCTTTAATTTCAACATTTAACATGAAGATGGTTGTTGTGGAAAAGAATAACAGTAGTTAGTCCACTCAAAATAGATTGTACTTCTATTCATTTTTAAATATTTTTAAATAAAATCAAATTGTTGCTTTCAAAATAAAATTAAATGATACCATGTCTGAAAATATACCAGAGCAGTAAAATGTGTTCATCTACAAGTAAGTCTTCTCAGTTTATTCTTAAGGAACTAACTAGGCATATTACTAGATATCTGAATTAATTTTATTTGATTTAAAATGCAAAATCGTGTCATGGCTTAATCTCAAGGCCTTTAAGAATTTGAATTGAACAAAAGATTTTAATTCTGATTTAATTAAGAATTCCCAAGGAAACAAATGTCAACAATTAAATTTTCTCAACATCAAATTGAATAGTGCCCACTGTATAATCTTACTATATTTTCAATTCTTAAAATATAAATAAAAGATATTTGTGATTGAGTCATTCCAAGTTTCAGATGCAACAATATTTTTTCAACACTAGTAAAACTGAAAAGAAAAAAAAATATATTTATGCGTTAGTCTCATAAGAGGAATAAAATCATATTAGTTTAGGTTGTACACTCCGATATCCTATCCTGTCCTTGGCTCGACAGCTCTCTATGGGTCTTGGACGACCAGCAGTGACGCAGCCTCTCGGCTGTGGGTAAGGGTTTCATGTAGTTAGCACGAACACATCCCTTCACTTTACATCCTGGTCTTCATAACCTCAGGGTGGGCAACACTCTAAGGTACATGGTGGTTGATAATACTGATTTTTTGTTGTTGTTTTTTTGTTTTTTGGTTATTAAATATTTCAAAGTATAAAAACATTTATGCATTGGGAAAATTTACTGATGGATAATTTGAAATAGTGTGTACTCAATATCTCAAAGCATTTATAAGTATTCATAGAAAGAGGTTGTGCTTGATTTTGTTTGATTAAAACTAGGTAGGTCTAGCCAATGTCATGTACCCTATTTTCTTTTGCTCTGCATATGAGAGAATTGTAAAGGGAAATGCAATTTCACTTTAGTTTGTGAATGATTTCTATAAAATTTTAATTCCAGTTTCTTAACTCAGCCCATTCCTATAATTTGTGAATTTTTTTAACATAATCCAAAATATAAGTTCAAAAACAATTACAAAATAATTTTTGAATACATTATTTCATTTTTATTTCGATAGTATCTACAATAGTTTATAAGTAATCAAATCAGATGATATTGCAGTAAGTAGGGCCTATGTATTGTTCCTATATGCTTCCTATATGTGCTTGCATCTTATGGCACATAAATGAATTATCTATGAATACCCCATTGGAAATAAGTTTAATTTAGGCACCCTAATTTCATTCCATCCAATTTTTTCATGAATTTGATTTGATTTATTTTACTTTTGTCAAAGAACAATAAAAACTTTACATGACATATAGGGGAATAGTACGAACTTTGCATGTTATCTTGAGCTCCAGAATCTCTTCCCCACCCTGTAACCATAAATAGTTTAATGATGAATAAATATACTCACAAAGCAATATTTGAAAACTAGATATTGTCACTCCCAAGTTGTAGAAAATGTATTTGCATTGGTAACAAACTACAGTTTTGATTCTTTTGTATTGCTAACAAAATAGTTACCAATAGCCCCCGTTCTACTCCTACCACAACTAGGAAAAGGAGAGCTCAACTAAGCAAGCATTTAGGGAAGCTACATTTATGACTAATTTATTGATGTGGTTTTGCCAGAAAACGCATACACAATTACATGAGGAACGTTGCTATAAACCTTTTTCTCTCAGTTAGAAATATATTATTCTCTGAATATTCAACAATAAATTCTTAATACTGCAATCTTCTTCTAAATTCAATTGTTTATAAACTATTGTGGATACTACTCAAATAAAATATCAATCTTTTGTGAATGATTTAACCACATTGAATAATTATTTAATACATCTCAATTTGAGGGTGACACCTGTAGGCGGTACCAGGATTTTTTGGTAAAAGAAATCTGAACATGAAGCATTGATGTATGACTTCATGTGTGAAAAAGTGTTATCAAACATGAAAATGTGAGATCTCTGTATGAAAGATCTCTAAAACATGAATTGATGAGATCTCTATATAAAGGGACTCAAATAAATTTCAAAAGAATTAATTCCTTCCTATTTATTCCTCCTGTGGAGGATAGTGTGCTATTACAATTCTGCATAGTGTTGCTCCTCTCTGTATGGTAACTTTGTACCTTCACTGAAGCAAGCTAGAGAAAATTGTGAACAAAATTTGTATTTATTATTCCAAAAATAATCCATTATTCTGCCACTCAAGAAATTACTTTTACCACAAAAATGCAAATATTTCATTTCCAAATTACAATGTTAATGAATTGTGTGTAGCAAATAGTCCTTAAATTCGTAAACTTTTGAAGTTTAGATAATACCATAATATATTTTTTTTAGTTTAGTATTGTTTATTAGTTTTGAAATCAAGTCAAGGACATGAAGACACAAACAATCTTGAGTACCCTTATTTATTTTCCGACACCAGAAATTCGTACCAAATATTGCCACCAATTTGGCAACACCAATAGTTCTTGAGTTAATTTATATTTTAAATAACATACCTAGAACTCTGTAATGCAAATCAAAGGACAAAAATTAATGGACTTAGAAACTTCTGAGTTACTTCCATTCTCTCCTCCATTTTTTCAGAAAAGTATAAATTCAAAACATTGTTACCATTTTAATTTTAAGCTATGTCGGCTGATGATTTATGCTAATATTTCCACTTCAATAATCCTCAGATTCTGGTGAACTGTTTTTTTTTCAGTAATGGTTGATTTACTTTCAATTTGATTTTTTAAAATTTTTTTTTTTTGCTAATGTTTAAAAAGGTAATTCAGTATAATAGTGTCAGCAAAGTCACCAGCATTTATGTAATTTTGTTTTCTCTTGCTGTGTCGATGGATGAAGAAATGAGTCAGAAAGGTTGCATACGTTGTAAGGGCAGAGACTGAATGTTGTGTCACATGAAAGGTGGTGCAAACCTATTTCACAGAAATATATAATTATACTATGACCTTAGCAATTATATAAAAAAGTGAGAGCATGAATTCCATGTACATGAGAAGTAAAACTTCAAATATACAGGTATAGTACACATGTAAGATAAAAGTATATTTTTTATAGAGTACAGAGTTGTTTACACAATTTCTTTTACTCTGTTAATGTTTTTAGCTTTATTGCAATAATATATTGCAGAATATTGAATATTCTTACCCAAATATTTGAGGAAGTATAATTATTGTGGTAAATGAGGATGTAGCAACCCCATTACCTGCAGTATCCTGCCAGAGGGTGGGAGTTGCGCAGTTAGCCAGATTTCCCCTTCCAGTTCACTCTTCCTTTTTTTAACCTATTTTACCCACCCTTCCCAATTTTGAACAACCTTTAATCCAGCTTCCATAGTATTCCTTCCGTATTACCTATCCTGTCAAAACCTTAAAAAAATCATCTTCCTTTCTTCTCTTTCTCTTTCTAGTGTGGTTTTGTTTCAACCTATTTGTTCCACTCTTCTTCTCTTTCCTGTTCTGCCTCTCTTGGCACCTTGTGATGTTTTTTTTACCACGCGCGCGTTTACCACGTGCGTGTGTGCGCGTATGTGTGTGGGCGCGCGCGCGTACGTGTGTGTGTATTAAATATACTTAATATTTATCAAATGAAACCATTACATACTGATGATGAGGACAAATTACGTTCTCAAAACATTGCGAATAAAACTGTGGAAAAAATACAATTGCATTTGATATCGCTTTCTAAATACATGCTTGTAAAGAAATAAAGGGATCATTTATTATTTGATAATTCTAGTAAATTGCATATTACAATCAGCTTTAGAATGCCTTGGATATCAAGGCAAAGACCTGAAAGACTGAAAATATGGAATGTGAAAATTTGGAAAAAGAACTATGAAGATGAAAAAAGATGTGTATCAGAGATATTTAAATACAAAGAAACCAGAAGAATACATAGAATATAAATGATTTAGAACTAGAATATGTCTGTTTTTCAGAAAAGCACACAAGGAAATCTTCTCTGATAGATTAGAACAGATTATCACTGGCGCACGAAGAACTGGTTGAAAAAAATATTCAAAAATTGTCCAAGAATAAACAATATGATGTTTGTGTGTATTTAATACCAGAAAAAAATGGGTTGAA